GCCTATCTGCAGTCCAATGAAATGGTCTAGCTATAGTCCTATAGAATGGACTAGCTTCCGTCGTATGAAATGGACTAGCTGCAGTTTCATTAAATGGGACAGCTGCAGTCCAATTAAATGGCCTAGCCGCAGTCCAATGAAATGGTGTAGCTGCAGTCTTTTTAAATACAGCCATGACATTCAATGTTAAACCTGGAACCTGCACTAATACTGATACTAGCTGCAATACTCTCGTCTTTGGTCTAAACTGGAGACTATGCGTACTATGGTGCATTTTCATAGTAAATCGCGTGTTTTTGTCAGTTAAACTCTGGCGTGACAAAAAGAGCAAACATTATTAATTTAAACTTTAAATTGTTGTGAGTTGTTGTAACAGGACACTGATTGATGGATCCAGCTTTTTTGTGCGTCCAATCAAATCATTTAATTTAACTGAGGTCAAATACAGTTTTCCTAAAATGGCCATGCAAAAGTTTGTAGGGGCGGCGTAAATCGGACAATGACTTTGGGCTGGTTATAACAATAAATCAGTCAACATGTGAACAAGGGATTAAGTACTAGTTTGCGTTTGCGTTGATAAAACCGCATATTTGTTTAACCTACACACCAAGTATCAAAGCAATGTAGCTGATAGTGTCCAAGAAGAAGTTGAAAATAACATTTTTATCAAAAATTACCAATATGTTCGCTTAAAATAGAGAATTGAAGATACCGTCACAAAATTAAAACAAATCTGACACAGATCAATCCAATGTATGTGCACTATCAATATCAGCGCTGTATAGCAAATTGTGTCACAGTAGAAGTCTACTGTAGAAAGTTTCAGAAAATCTCTATGTAACATTATTCTAAGTAGCAACCCTCCTTGAGCATATTAATAGTTTATGGTAGCTAATTTGCATAATTGTTGGTGGATCATCTTCTCATGATCAATTTCCATCTACACACATCGTGGCAGGTACACAACAAAAATCTAGTCAAACGTTTCAGTGGGTTTGAGAAGAAGTCGCTCACATCCAGACAGGCAGATAGACAGACTTTAGACGCTGGACACATCACGATAGTTAAAGCAGTGAATTGTGAGGAGTTATTCGGAAAAAAATGTGCGATTATATAGTAGCCGTTCCCCCGCTGTGCTCACTCCCTGACGGTTGATCACTTAGTTGTAATATTTCGCAAGATTTCCCCCAAGAAAGTAGTATTTCCATGAGTATATTTTGATCCGGAGGTTTGATTCTATAACCTTTCCACCACTAGAATTTCTCGTCCAAATTGTCCTGCCTTTGTTTCTAACATTCTTCAATATTTCTGAAAAGGAACCCTAATTTTGGAGAAAACAGACCCAATTTGTGTCATTTTCAGTTTTTACTCAAAAAAATATGGTTATCTTTTTCCGAAGGAGAGTATTAACTATAAACTCGACTTTTTTGTGTGAATTTGTGCGGAAAGGGAGAATTGATGGTAAAAAGAATAAGCAACACAACCTGTAAACGAGACAATCCAAAACGACACTAGCTGTGAAAGGTTAATTTTGTCTCAGAACTGGCACCAAGTTTGAAACATGACCAATTGCTAAAATAGGGGTCCGTTGGTATCCGATAGAGATCCGTTGGTATCCGAACGCCAGCATAGCAGGTCGTTATTAAGATTTCTCTGACTGATAATGGTTGAACAGTAAAGGAACACAGTAACACAATGTAATAATGTATAGATTCTTAAAAATATTTTATTCCAAGAAACAAATAATTCAAAAAACATAATTTCTTTGATTGAATTAAATAACTTTACACTGTACTTTCTCCCCAAAATAATACCTGTACACATCACGTGACCTTAGATTCAATTATCCGATACATGAATAAAAATACAGAGCTGTCAGTTTTAACGACAAGTGTACCCTCAAAGGAGTAAAGGTAACTTAACTATATAATTCAAGTTACAACTTGATACACTCTTATTGTGTTTACAACTAACAATTGGCAAATCACTGTAAAGTTATGTATATCACTTCACCACATTCACTGAAAAACACAGAGTGACCCCCTTTTTCATTACAAAATATTTTTAGCAAATAAAGAATTTATATAAGGTGAAAATAAACTTTGGTATTATTGCCATTTCAAATTGGCCGATGAGGGTAAAATATATACAATGCTTGATGTAATTACGGAAGGGGTGTGTGGAGTCCCTGAGAACGATCACAATCATGTAACACTGATGTAGCCGCCTTGTCGACGGCCCCATCTCATGGCACAAATGTAGCCACCTTCTTGGCGGCCCCATCTCATGGCACATATGTAGCCGTCTTGTCGGCGGCCCCATCTCATGGCACATATTTAGCAGCCTTGACAGCGGCCCCATCTCATGGCACATATGTAGCCGTCTTGTCGGCGGCCCCATCTCATGGCACATATGTAGCCACCTTGTTGGCGGCCCCATCTCATGGCACATATGTAGCCGTCTTGTCGGCGGCCCCATCTCATGGCACATATTTAGCAGCCTTGACGGCGGCCCCATCTCATGGCACATATGTAGCCGTCTTGTCGGCGGCCCCATCTCATGGCACATATGTAGCCGTCTTGTCGGCGGCCCCATCTCATGGCACATATGTAGCCGCCTTGTTGGCAGCCCCATCTCATGGCACATATGTAGCCATCTTGTCGGCGGCCCCATCTCATGGCACATATGTAGCCGCCTTGTCGGCGGCCCCATCTCATGGCACATATGTAGCCGTCTTGTCAGCTGCCCCATCTCATGGCACATATGTAGCCTCCTTGTCTGCGGCCCCATCTCATGGCACATATGTAGCCATCTTGTCAGCGGCCCCATCTCATGGCACATATGTAGCCGTCTTATCGGCGGCCCCATCTCATGGCACATATGTAGCCGCCTTGTCGGCGGCCCCATCTCATGGCACATATGTAGCCGTCTTATCGGCGGCCCCATCTCATGGCACATATGTAGCCGCCTTGTCGGCGGCCCCATCTCATGGCACATATGTAGCCGTCTTGTCGGCGGCCCCATCTCATGGCACATTTGTAGCCGCCTTGTCAGCGGCCCCATCTCATGACACATATGTAGCCGTCTTGTCGGCGGCCCCATCTCATGCCACATATGTAGCCGCCTTGTCGGCGGCCCCATCTCATGGCACATATGTAGCCGTCTTGTCGGCGGCCCCATCTCATGGCACATATGTAGCCGCCTTGTCGGCGGCCCCATCTCATGGCACATATGTAGCCGCCCCATCTCATGGCACATATGTAGCCGCCTTGTCGGCGGCCCCATCTCATGGCACATATGTAGCCGTCTTGTCGGCGGCCCCATCTCATGGCACATATGTAGCCGCCTTGTCGGCGGCCCCATCTCATGGCACATATGTAGCCGCCCCATCTCATGGCACATATGTAGCCGCCTTGTCGGCGGTCCCATCTCATGGCACATATGTAGCCATCTTGTCGGCGGCCCCATCTCATGGCACATATGTAGCCGCCTTGTCGGCGGCCCCATCTCATGGCACAAATGTAGCCATTATGCCGGTACAATCACGTGATATTGAGGTTTATGAGTGGATTGTAATGCTTATCTACTGTATTTAGTAAATTTAGTGTTATCTAGTATTACGGTATTGTTTCTTGATATATTATGATATACGTAACGTAACGACGACACAATGCCGCCATCTTCAATCATGATATGTGCCAAACAGTGAGTATGGTGATATTCAGTCCACTAATCCACTGAACGGTTTTCGGGGTCGATAAAAGAGTTCTATTAAGCGCATTTGATAAGCCATAAAGTAGGTTTCCCTGTCATACCAGTAAAATACTCAAATGAGTTTGTGTCCGAACACATTTAATAGTATGCATTCCCTGCATCCTTAAAAAGCACAAAATAACATGACGTATACACAAGTTGACACCACGTACGTCGTCTTAAATTGAACAACATGGAGAACCATTATCTATCTCTAGAACCAAATAAACTATTTGATAATAATGTAAGTAGTACGTACATAAAAGTGCAAAAACCGAAATAAACATATAAATACTATTGACAAACTGTTCAAGTTCCCGCGCATATGAAACATCCTGTTTTCATATTTTTATATTTCTCCGTTACCATGGTATTTTGATTTACAAAAGGCTATTCTATTTTGTAAATTGGTGAGATTTTTTTAGATATCTGTTTCCAATCATGGTAAAAGTTGTAACTGCTAAGAATCCTAATAGTTTAACGTCGCCCATAATAACGGTTAAACGACGACAATTGTTGTAGACGAACCTGGTTCAACTACTTACATTAACATACTGTATAAACCATAACTTATTTTGTGAGTTTTAAATAATTTAGGAACGTGGACTCTGTGGTCTCCAACTAACCTATAAGTTCGATCTCTAATGTGGGCTAAGTACCGTTGTCAAAAACATTAAACAATGGAACGTTTTGCTATGACGCGTAGGTTTTGTAAAACCAGTACTGTTACTACATTGTGCAATGTTTTATCATTGAGCTATGTATATAAAAGACGTGATCGTCATATATATTTAAAAACGGTTAGCATGTTACAATTAAAATGGTTAGAAAATCTAAACTTTTCGCTCAGTATGAAATGCACATTCATTGACAATCGGACACTATCGTTTAAACTGGCCATAGGCATCCTCTGAATGCAGCCGAATTCGACAAGATAACACTACAGTCAAAATTCGACAAGATCAGATGACGCTAGAGCTGACATTCAGGAGCTATAGTTCCCTGGTATATATCAAGGTCATATGCTTTGATACTGAGAGTCGCGATAATGCAAAATTTGCCATATCGTAAATATAGTAACAGCACATAAATACATAAGCTTCGTGTTCCATAGTCAACTGTTTGCTATGGGGCACTGGGTAACGCAAAGCACTGTGTATGTAAAATACGGGGCCGAGGTCAGCCTCTTATCCGATATATACGGCAATGTTTCAGTCGAATTCGTTTGAGACTCACTGGTTGTTATCGGTGACATGCTGATCCAGGGATTATGGTGGTATTGTAGAACAAACTGAGCCGCCTGGAGAAAACAACCACAATACGTCATAATCTGAGTTCCTTGGTTCAGGCATATATTCATCTTGTGCCACGTGACAAATGTGTGCAGCAGATATAAACACTTTACAAACACGTCCAAATAAATAAACAACATGTTATATACGTTTCCATCACGAATAAATATCCATCATCAGTTGCTCTTATAACTTCTGGGGCAGGTCAACAGATTCGTGACTGTGGTGGTACATAACACCTGAGCCCAGGTGATGTGTCCCTCCGTTGTGATACATTGGGTATCCTGCAAGAGACGGGTACGGCGACGTGCTTGGTGGTGGGGGAGGGGCGTGCGCGTTAGGATATCGAGGAATCGGCGAGTGACTGTGACTGTTGTGATTGTGATTAGAATGGTTCGGATACGATGTTGGTCGAGAAGCTGTGTTGTTGTTATGACTACCGTTGCCAGATTTACGCAATCTACAGCAGCATACAATACATACGATCAGTATGATAAGGAAAACGACTCCAATTGTGGCTCCCACGATGGCGACCACGCCGATCCCAAGCACTCCAACGCCGAGAGCGAAAATTCCTGGAGGTGCTGAAAACAAACGGAAAAAAGATAAGAATATGAATTTACATATAAATGCAACAATTCAATCACAGTATTATTATTTCTTTAAGAGATCCTGTTTGTGTTTTGTTTTGTTTTGTTTTTCAAATTGTAATAAATAAATAAATAAATAAATAAATAAATAAATAAATAAATAAATAAATAAATAAATAAATAAATAAATAAATAAATAAATAAATAAATAAATAAACACAAACGACAGAGTGAGTAGGAACACTGAGCCCTGATGTATTCACTATGCAACACAAAGACTGTTTGATAGAGCGCCACCACAGTAGAAAATGTATTCAGCGAAACGATCAGACCTCGTGCACGTCGCATGAATATCGATCGCGCGGAAAATTAAAAATATTAATTTTGCAAAGCGTAATTTATCGATTAGATTGAGAATCGGAAATCTCACCAAGCCGCGGTATTATAGGTTACGATACGTGCCTGCTATGCAAGTTGGAAAACAAATCAGTCGAGTTATTATGTTCAGAATGCTCCGAACAAATCAAAATCGAAAAGTCAGCTTGAAAAAATAACACATGGCAATCGTCTGAGATGAGCTAGTTAATACTCGCTGAATCGACAATACCCAAAAGCCGCGCCACATCACTGAACTTTGACTCTAAGACTACGCTACACCTGCCCTTGTTTGACGTCCAACAGTTGCAGACACAAGAAAAACAATATCGTAACGATACATTGACATTTATAGGCATTCAGCGAGACTCGAACACCATGACGTTAAACAGCGGCTATAGCACACGAGTATTTTCCTATTACATACACATGAGGCTATATTAACTCATATTAACGCTATTTTAATTATTCCCGTGAGAAATATTCACACTAAACAATTAGTTCAACGGTTTTAATAAAAACCGAAACACGTTGCTATAGTTCACGATTTCGGGTATGGTAAGTCAGTAACGTATCATGCCCTCTACGACAAACATGTACATGACGATCGGAGAATAATTCTGGAGACACGTGATTCATATCATTCCAATTCGTCGCCATAAGGCTTATCTCACCACGTTCAATCATTCGGGGATACAATTCGATTTTTATCTATAAATGCAATACACAAATGCGATATTCTGGAATGAATCAGAAACAAGAGAAAAGAGAGAGGGGGCTAGATGAGCGTAAATGTGTCAACACAAATATGTCTCTTTCATTTTTGTGAATAACGCAGTCTACTTGAAAGTAATATTAGCGAAGAAGCTTTTAGCTGAATTTATAGTGTCAATCAACGCGTTGCAGGTATTCAACAATGAACACATCGCATCTATGATAGCGAAGATCTTATTAAATAAAGTACATTTGATGCAGGTCATCCAAGGATTTACATATTCCAAGGATGTCAATCTCGGATAGATAATTGCAATACAACCCTGGACCCATGTTGTGATTAGTATTCCACTCACGGCCATGCCGTGAAGCATTACTTCATGACTATAACTGGAAACGTTGAAATCACAACATTTCGTAACACTACGTGTAATCTGTGGACAAATGCTACGTGTACTAGTAATCTGTGGACGAATGTTACGTGTAATCTGGAGATAAATGCTACGTGTACTAGTAATCTGTGGGCGAATGTTACGTGTAATCTGTGGTCAAATGCTATGTGTACTAGTAATCTGTGGACGAATGTTACGTGTAATCTGTGGGCAAATACATTTCACGTACAGTCCATGGACAAATGTCAATCACTATAAATCGTCTACTTCAGAATCAAAGATCAATGTTTCAAACGGTCAACGCACATTACGATTTAAGTGTGAAACGTTGAAATAAATTAATAAAACATTGTTTTCTATCCAATCAAGAAACAGTATGAAATACGACCGAAATGTGCTTTGCATACCAACAAACTTGAGCGCGGTTTACCAATCATCATGCGACTTGGTATTATGGTCATTTGCAACAACAAATCATCACCTGATTGCATGTAGTAATATGAATAGGAAAAATCGTTAAGAATTTGCAGACACATCAGCTCTTTCGCACAAAACACAACAAGTGGAACAGTTATTCATAAGTCTAGTTGGAGAGAATGTCATGTCATGACTCAGTAGCTACATTGAGATGCGAGTCTGTTGATAGAAAGCCCTTAATAAAAGTGCCTTTGTTGATGACCCGAACCTCTGTATCCCTACACACTACTGACTGCGGTTGAAAGGTGTTTGAAAACAGACATCACATAAATCTATTGAAACTTGATTTAAATGCATGGAAAACCTGAATCTATGTTTGAGTTGGTCAATGCGTGGGGATAATTAAGGCAATTGTAGTCTGTCTGCAAAGCAGCGACGAGAAAAAACACGAGAACAGTGTAAAACACTTAACATCCCAATGCATGGTCTATAATATGCGAAATGGGGCGTAAAATCATGTGACAGTGTTCAAAATTGTTGATGTAACTATTATCGCTATGATGACGAAGATAAGTTTGGGACTATTATATAATGATTGAGCTCACCGTGACGTCACGAAAAAGAAACCCACAAAAAAAAAATGACCACACATCAATTATACACATGACAAACATTTTAGACTAGATTCCAGCTGGAGACAGGAAATTCATCTTATCACAAAATATTGTACTATATGATGAATTATGAATTCTATTAAACCTTGTCATATCAAATGTCGGGTTGAAGACGATTTGAATTAACAAAACATGAACATTTTCTTCCTCTCTAAATATTGTTTCCGATATTAGATTGTAATGCCTTTCCATTGATTAAGTATGTTACTTATCATTCAACCGTACTAGTTCCAGTGCAATCTTTCAACTGACACGTGACAAGAACAGTGTGTCTAATTGCAGTTATCATTATTTGCAACTCTAGTGACTGTTCTGTCTGTGACTCAAAATATAAATATTAAAAACTTAAATATCATGCCGATCAGTCAACAGTCAACGAGTGCAGTGCGTAATGACGTCAGTTGAAAATGTTCCGATGTTATTCCATCAGCAAATAAAAACCTCTCGTTTCAGTTTGAATTGCAAAAATTATAAATATTAATAAAAATTGAGGGAATGGTTTTATCGTGCCGATTGTACAAAACAGATCAAATGGAGACAAGTCGAGTATACTTGTGTATCCAACTCACCTTCGTTACAAGTGGTATCACTTTCGTCACTGTCGTCATTGCAATTATTCACCCCATTGCATACTAAATCTTGAGAAACACACATCGAGTTATCTTCGCACGTGAAACATTCGGCTTCAGGTTCTAAAAGGGAGACACAATAAAATTGTTTTGATTACATAAATCGTTACCTTTAATATTTCTTATTTACTCTCAAGGCTCGGAATCAAGTATCACTAATTATCGCCGGTGACTAATTCGACACCTTCCAATCACCCAAAGAACCTAATTGAAGCTTTGTAACGTCTCAGTTAAACCTCGTTGATCTGCACCACAGTCAAAGTCGCCATCTTTGTTTATATAAGACCCATATATCTTGAGCATGCGTGGCGCGACAACTACCGCCCTTTAAACAGTAATAGTAATAATTTCCAATAATAATGTTTGTTTGTTTTTCAGGGGAGTGCTGACAAATTCTCATTAATAGTGAATTTGTACCCTAGAAAGTACCAGTATGTGTGACCTTTTGGAGGTCATGCACTAGGCATATTCTAAGCGTAAAATTAAATGGACAACAGATCACAAATACGGTGGACACACACGTGACAAGCGATATCGAATCACTATTGTTATCGAAGTCATTTTGAAATGCGTCAATGACATTTAAATGAGGACTTGGTCGAGGCATTAGGATGGCAGTATGTACGGAGGTTCTTTGTATCGTATCCTTAGTGCGTCTTGGTGTAATACATCATGTGTCATGTTATCATTCCCCGGCGTGTAAAGGGCTAATGGGGGTCACCTCTAACAATCTTGGCGATCTGAAGTTTTGTAATATATCACGTGCAAGTTATCCCACCTTTCAACTTTGAGTGATCTTTTTCATCATCATTCCTTTCACGGGTAAATATATGCTGCTGTAGTACGAATTGTTTTATTTATTTTAGTTTAGAAAATAAATCACACAAATGTTTTTTGTTACTGAATTACTGATTTCGCTGAACCGCAAACATCGGAAAGTGGGTCAAGCGATGACCTGGTATACCACGCTAATAGTATAGTGAATATCTGATAAATACCAGATCATGCATAATCAACAAGACCCAATTGTTTTTACTGAAGATAATTCTATCGAAAACTGACACGTGGTGCGGCCAAACTGAAGAGGGTATATGCGATAGTCTGCTGCCTAGAAAGAAACGTGTTGCGCTCGTGCGTACATTTGAAATATGTTAATCAGACTCACTCTGCTCTGTACAATTAAAGTGGACCAGATAAGTGATGTTATGATAGGGGAATGGAGTAACTAATTAGTTGGTAAGTTCTATTCACAGAGCACAGCTGGTGTACAAGTTAGAATATGGTAAATGCAACTAACTTACAGGTATTAACTATACAGGGGCGACACTAGATATGGGGTGCCCCATATAGTAATTAGTAGTATTTATTATATCACATCTTGTACGCCAGCTGACTGTGGCACGAACGGGTCACGAGATATGAGCACGAGCTAGTCATAATAGAAAACATGACACATTCTTTCTTATCAAGTAGAAGAAAACATAATTTGGTAATACTAGTATAACGCCCTCGGCAGTCATGATGGCCCAATTTTTAAGATTTGTACCTGATCCTCCGGGGTAGGTGATATCATAGGTAATTATATTGTAAAAGTGAACTAAATGGAATTCCATCATAAAATACGATGCAAACTCAAATCCAGTGCCCTGAATCATCTTTAATTGCCATGAACGTGTAGTCTTAATCAACAATTACGCCTTTATATTCTCGCCTCAAGGATACAAAGTTCATACCACGCCGGTGAAATTAAACTAAATTGTGTTTAACCATTCTCGCAACAAAATAACAATAATATTAAACCACTTTTCCAAAGCATGTGTAGGAGTTTCAAAATTGTAGAAATGTCAATACGATTTTCGAAGAATTAATTAACTAGTAGTTTGACACTGAAACAGAATCAAAGAGCATTATGGGATTTATTTTAATTACCGCATTGGTTCTGCCTGTCTTTATTACTTTGCTCGAACCATAACAGTATTTCAATGTGTATATTTGTATACAGTACTCGCACTCCGTATGGCGTGCTGTAACTTTAGTAGAGTGTAAATAAGGACGTCAATAAACGTCGTCGTATCCACAATCTTAAAAGTTTTTTGAGATGGTGCACATGTTACACAATCCAAACCTATGCTTTGTGTTTTGGCCTTTGTAAACGAGGGGCCATTGCAGGGTGTGAGGTTAGCCCTTATTTTGCACAAGTAGTTTAACTGTCTACAGTCGTTGATATTCGGCATATTCGTAATTTAACTGTCTACAGTCGTTGATATTCGGCATATTCGTAATTTAACTGTCTACAGTCGTTGATATTCGGCATATTCGTAATTTAACTGTCTACAGTCGTTGATATTCGGCATATTCGTAATTTAACTGTCTACAGTCGTTGATATTCGGCATATTCGTAATTTAACTGTCTACAGTCGTTGATATTCGTAGAAAAAATGAAAACAAATGGTGCAAGAATGTAGAACTTGAAAAAACAACAACTCTCGATTAATCGTTGTTTCAAGTAGCACTACAGCTGGCATATCGAACTTACACTAGTGGCAAGCGCCGACAGCGTTGTTTTTTCAGATGTTGGACGGGTTACATTGCGGTATGAATGGTCACTGAAGTCAGAAATAAATAACCTGTTGTTAAGAACAGGGACAATCGGAAATTTGCTGGGGTAACCGTATACTTGTAATGAACAAGCTCCATCACGAACTGAACATTGTTGAACTGTTTACAATCGAACTTGATACTGTCAACTTTAAATGGAGACCAGTATTCAAACGTAATCCATCACCACCAATAATATTGCTGTAATTTAGTGACGGGTGTCGAATAGTGTATGCTTGTCTCCCATGTGGTTTGAACCATTTGTTATTAAAAGCACCAATGATCGTGTTGCAGTAAGCGATTTTTGCAATACCAACCTAATGGCTAATAGTGGATCGCATTTCAAGCTGGCTTCGTGTTTTGACTGAACATTTTTTCTAAACAAATCGCTTCCTTATACAATGTATATTGAGCCGTACTCTAACCTAGAGCGGACCCCTTCTGTCCACACATGTTTGCACTCTGTGAGCGAATCGGAAAACATTTAAAACACACGTTTACTTGCCTTCTTTTTTTATTATTATACGTAAACAGAACTTCATAGTTTTTCCACGCAAATTGTATGTATGGAATATGCACACATGCTTAAAATGGCGCGAAGCCACGTAGCAGACGACAATTGAAATCGAACATAAATGGAAAGTGATTCTAAAGTGGAGTGACGTACTATATTGTTGTCATGGAAACGCGCGTTATTTAAAATCATGTTAACAAGAACAGACCATTTATGTTGGTTTATACCATCGTTTATTTCGGCAATTTTTGTTGTTTTTTTTCTATGTCACTGTAATGAACGGCGATCCATTATTCATGGCCCAAGAAGTAATAACTGGACGATTAAACCGCCGGTGGTAATTTTATGTCACAGACAAATGCAATCGTTGCTGCTTCTGATGGATTGCAGCTTGTAGCACAGAATGGTTGACACCAAAGTCATAATGGATGTTACTTAATAGGGACCCAATGCGTAGGTCGACGATACAGTACGTTGGATGTTAAATGCAAAGTCGTTCGGTCGTATTTTTATTTCCATTAATGCACTAGTTTCTTCGAAAATCATGTAAATCCTTTCTTGCAGTCTTGGAGACACAAAAACGACACCTTATAAAATATTATGAATTCAAATTAGGTGTTATATTACTGATTGAACAATTTAGACACGTCATGGTGCCACACTTTGATTAAATAGACGAATGCAGTCAACACTATCACTTTTACCATGGAATGACAATTTGAAAGCAAGCGTAAAAACATCATCGACGAAATCCAAAGTGTATTTCACTAAAAAATATTTTTCAATTATTGAAAATCGTGACATTGTGATTAATTAAAATAAATTATAAGGTGGTATGACGATAACGCCAAATGACGTGAGGTCATAATATGTCACGCTACCCGTGAACAAATGTTACGTAATTTAAAGTAATTCGTAATTCCACATTACGAGAAAGCGTTACCTTCAGGCTGGGTCTTGTGACATCAGGTTGGGCCAATCATGGAGGTAGAAAACAGATCTCTTTTCTACCTCCATGGGCCAATGGACGTCAGGTTGGGGCAATTGACGTTATGCCAAATTGGGCCAGGTGAACTCAGGCCGGGACAATTGATACCAGACTGGTCCAAGTGATATGAGGATGAGCCAATTTACCTCAGGTTGGGGAAATTGACATCAGGCTGGGTCAAATTACACCAGGCTGGGCCAATTGACCTATTCTCTAAGACAGACGGGAAACGGAAACGAGACAAAAACAACAGATTTTTCAAGTTAGCATGAGGGAAATAACGTTGCTAAGTATTATCGTCGGGAAAGCTATTGTTTAACTAGTAGTGTGATTGGTTGCTGGCAATGTTTGGGGGATTTTGACCAGATTGTGACGTAGACTTGACTTAGAGAATGACTCTGTCAGTTGATCCCATGAGGCTGGGCTAAGACAAGAAATCTTATGTACATTGGATGTATTTATCCTTAACAAATTTAAAAAAATCAACCTTAACATAAATTTTCTTAACAAAGCGTCAAAATATATGGGATAGGTTTTCATCGAATTGCCGACGTCACATGACTACTGACCTCTGACTTCTATTGGGATTTGCATATTTTGTTGGAAATTTAAAAACGTTTAAGTTGCTAATCTGATCAGTAACGTAAAAATCGTACATTACAAATTCTATTACACTTGCTAATTACTTTTCGAATGCAAATTCTTTACGGCGCTAACACGTGACCTCTGGGGACAGCCCAGCATAGACAAAACGTCACACAAAGTTGAAATACATGTGGACAATAGGTTGTACGCTTGTTCTGGTTTCTACTAGTATGTGATGACCTCTTTCATCGACAAGACCTCAATTTATTACCGCTTGTATATAACTCATAATTGAATATTATAACACACTCTAGAATTGTCTATATTGCTAAATGATCGATCGACACACTTCGCATGAGTGTCACTGGTTATTGAATTCTCTACGTCAGTATAAACTCATTGATACAAGATTTACTAGTATTTTCTCATCACATCTGCAAATGACACGTGTAAATCAAACATTATCGGTGAGTCTCAACATTCCGTACTGCTTGTTAGAAATACGTCTAAGGTAGATCATATTTGATTAATGTTATGAAATTGAAAGTTTAGTAAATTTGACACCTGAACACGTGTAGTACTGGAAATCATTGTACGACGTGAAAAGGGCAGAACACGATTGATTAGTTTTATAATACGCACTGAAATATGTTAAGATTTTGACAAGAACAGGACAAATCACACACGCACGCCATGTGTGTATATATTATATTCTTTAGCGTATTATCTGGAGAATATTTGAGTGAAATTAAGAGGTTGTTAAATCGATGCCACCCGCTGGAATAAACAAGAATAACTACGCCGTTGAGTAAAACTAATATCCTGGGCGATTCATGTGTTCTGTGAGATTATGTCAATATGTGTGCCTGTCCCAATCCTACATCCGGTCTCAGACAACTAATACTATTGGTTGCAGAGATCCGGTTTAGGATCACGTATGCAAATTGTGGCAAAGAATGCGTGTTCTATTACCGCGTTTCCGAGCGTTCAGTAACTAATAACCAATCAAAATACGCCTGGCTGTCATGTGATTCAAAGCCATTTGACAGACGGCAAAGTGCACAATTTTTGGGAAATACTAAAATACGACCATCAACTTAAACAAGTGGACAGTAATGTCCCAATTTTAATTCTGTCGACTCACGAAACTATTTTATCTAACAATAGAACACATATGAAGAATTTATTCATAGTCATTTATTTATTCATATTAAATGAATAAATAAAGCAAAAAAGTACTGTACGACTAAAACTATTTTTTAGAATAAAGTTCCGGGTGCAGATGGAGTATGTATTAGATGTTTACGTTCCAATAAAATCATCATATACATTATTTATTGTTTGCATTGGTCTATATATTATACAGGGATCCAGTGTGTACATTATTATATCTTAATATTGACTACACATTTCCAGTGGTTGTGTTCTTCCAGGTTCAAATATAAATCCATCCTAGTATCATCTCTGAGCAATAAATGATGTGAATGACAATATATCTTGTTAGCTGTGTTTACACTGTCGCGAATGGCACGCCGTTCAGATGAATTAATTTTTAAAGAGAAGCAAAATGCAGGGGTTTACGCTACCTGTCTTATAATGCTATATAACTATCGCGTGACCCTACATTCATAAATTAAGAGCACGTGACATAATTAAATTCTCAATTCTATGGAAGTTGGACGCCTGGCTTTAATTTATTTAGATACTGAATTTATAAATTTCGTGACTACGAAGGAGAAGAGTGGGATTTTAAAAACGTGTCAGTTTTGTGTTTCATCCTTCGGTGTAGACGCTGAGCACGAATACCGATCTACTCCGTGAACTCGTTTATTACCAGGCCATGGATGAAACCGTATACCAATAACTACACAACGGGGTGGCCGTTCAATGTCCCCAGGGTCACGTGGTAATTAGGTTGCTAATTAGGCAAATATTACAATTAAGGATTTCACACAGTAGGTAAAACTTAATTGTTGGTGCATGTGTTGGGAAACACTCTAACATGTCATGTATCTACACTGTGTGACAACGAGTAAACCGGAAAGAATTCTACAACATCGTTTATTTATGTAGAGATCAGTGGCGGCGGCACCGGGTCGCCCCCCTCCAAATCAATCTGAAACCTTTTGTGTCAGCAAAATGTGCCCATCAAAATGCAGGGAATATCGTTTCAGAAGGTCTATATTTTAGATCTAGTGCAAAATTTCGTGCCACCGCCTCTGTGGATGGATCATTATTCCCGCAAAGAGGGGACTGTGATAGAATCAGAATAACGCAAAAAATGTAGTCTTCACGAAGTGGGACAAATAGTCAGGATTCTAGAAACTAACATTGCTCAGTAACTAAATCTTCTGTCAATATTTTCTTCAAGTTGTTAATATCGCTTAATAAGTGAATAAGAACAGCTCAGCATTTTTATCACGCATAAACCAAATCTACCCAAAGTTTCAGATACTGTCCTTTTAATTTCACACTATGCGCCATATTTAGAGATTTCGACATATTAAAGAAGGTACCAATACCGGTACCAAACCAAATCGAACAGCGGACCCCGAACACAGAATACCGAACCAGACAGGTGTAATGAAAACGCCCATTCTCCAAAACAAACACTCTAAATGATCGTACTGGTATTTACAGCCAGCCAGCAGTCGCCACAGAATTATATGAAACACGAAATCTCATTTTTTGATATCAACCACTCCTCGGTATAGAGAGCCAGATGTTCCACACATTGTAAGCAAAGAAGGCTGGTGCGCGTGCGCGTCAAGTCAATTAGTGTGTCGTCAAGACTTCTAGGAGGCAAGCAAGCGGATCGATTTGTTTATTTGATGGAAAATTGGACGTTTAATTTGTTTTCATTGATTCATTTACGAAGTTCATACTGTTCCTGTATAAATAATCTGAAATGTCACCACGGGGTGCATGCAATGTAGTTTCTGAGAGTGTTGGAAATGAGAGTGCCGCCTAGTCGCCGGGCGTTCAGTTGATAACAATATAAATTGTACTTAAAACATGAAATAGACTCGACAGTTTCACAGCTCTATAGTTCTTATTGAGAACGGAGCTTCTCGTTATCGCTACGTTAACGTTATTAATTCAATTGTCAAGCATTTTACCGGCATGCTGAGAAGAACATTTGTTCGTTGACGCGAATTAAAAGCGAAAGATCCAATTCTCTCGACATCGAGTCGTCGAATGCATCATGTGGATGAGTAGCGTAAAAATGTTCTCTATTCAATATTTAATCATGTATAGGTATAAGATGTGATTACGTTCCTTTATTCAATTTCTGCATTCGCTGAGTCTAGTTCTCTAATAAACTGTACATTATAAAATGCGTATGAAAATTTTAAACCTGATTGTACGTTGACAACAATGCATTGCAGATGTGTCCCCAAAAGTTGAAAGGTCAAAGTTCGGGTAGGAAAAATAGACATGTAATAGGTCGTTTTGAATTGATAAAAAATAGCACATCTATTATTTTTAAAAAATAACATCATTTATTCAACGTTATTCAGTTCGTAGCGAAACATATTCGTTATTTCCCAAATAACCCACCATTTAACATCAATGGGATCCTGAACGTGGCTCGAATGTAACACTCGTCACGAAGTGAAATTCTGTCAGATTCCTCGGGGTTTCTATGATAGTTTGGCGGGAAATCTTATCGTCTTCTACTAGCTGATTAAATTTCCAATTTAATCGTTTCATGACAGAATTGCAAGTCGGATTCTTCATTACTTTGATATAATCTTTAATACAGATTTAGTAGACCAATAGTAATTGGAATCTTTCGTTCCATTTTAATTACTAACAATACAGTGTAATGTGTTAGCACAACATAGAAACACACTGACTGCAAACTGGATTGCCGTTCAATGAATTCAACAAGAGAAGTTGATGAGACTCATTTTGATACAAATGAATCAAAACACTGTTTTGTCTAGACTAACCAATGTCATATTTCCATTTCCTGCATACATGTAATAACAATGATGAATGCTCAGTGTCTTCCTGACATCATAAAACACCAACAGAGTAAACTGTGTACATTTTCTGGTGAATCACATGAATAATTTGTTTTACATGTGGAAAACACATTTTTAATGAAATATAGTTGTTTTGACGATCTATCTGATGTAACAGTAATTTGTACAGAAACAGTTCTATCTCTGGCCTATCACACAACCAAACATTAGTGTAATCTAACATTTTCAATATTTTTCATGTTAATAACCACACATTCAACACCATATGGCTCACAGGTGTGTGTGTGTGGTGTGTGTGTGTGTGTGTGTGTGTGTGTGTGTGTGTGTGTGTGTGTGTGTGTGTGTGTGTGTGTGTGTGTGTGTGTGTGTGTGTGTGTGTGTGTGTGTGTGTGTGTGTGTGTGTGTGTTCGTGTGTGTCAAGAGAAGTGTTCAATAGTTAGTTGCTACTAGAATATATTCTTTTCAAAATAACTCACCTCCTGGGGTATAAAACGATGTGTAGATAAACTTAAATCCCAAATCTGCTGACTTTTTTTTGTCGCTAATAAACCTGAGTGTGACGACATTCCCTGACGACTGGTAGTCATCCGGGAACTTTCCCATGGCACCACAAAGCGTGACTTGCGGCGTTCCAACGCCTATCCTTATCGTCATCAAATCCCCAGTGTCGTAAATATGCACTCTATCGCCGCTACTACTGCATTCGTTCGAAACAGTGTTGTACATGGACGAAAGATCGAAAAAGTCGAAACGTATGTTTATTCTCTGACCAATCTCCGTATGAATAATTACCGAGCAGTCCATGTTTTCTTGGTACGTTTTCTCTTGTACACCCTGGTGGGAGAACACCTCACCTGTCGTGTAACTTATATTGTGTTTGCATTTGTATGGCTGACTCGAATCTTGTAGATATGCTGAAAAGAAAGAAAAAAAAAGAATAAAACTAGTGAACAAAAATATTCGCACATATTAGTTAAATAAATAAATATTAAATTGGGTTCATATTAATATTGATTGGGTTTATATACGTATTTTATTGAACTCGGGTAGGGTGAATAAAATGAGTAGCATGATGAACGATACACGGGGGAAATATTATCAATGACGGACAGTCATTCAACTTTCCCCCGGTATGCACTCTCATATTCATTCACTTTGTCACCCGTTGTTCAACTCGAATATGTTAAAACTCCTGGCATTTACTCTACATATTTTTGTAATAAGATACAACCAAATATTTCAATATTTGGCGAATAATTTAATCGAACGTGTCGTTCTGTGCAAGCTTTGTGTGCCAACAAGGCGGTGATCAGCAAAATACGAGGTTCGCGATGCAGTTTTTTCTAATAAATTGAATTGGTTATTGTGTGCCTTCCATTCACAACAGTGACTGTTATGGCGATACGCCGACATATATTCAATGTATGGAACGAACCATGGCGGTCTCAGGCAGCGGGGTGGCGGCCAGCTTGATGAATCTCGAACAATGGAAACTCGATTTCTGATAAGAGTTCCACCTGAAGTGTACAAGATAATAAACACTCCCTGTCAACTACTCAAGAGTTAGACCACGTTCGCATTTCCAATCGCGTTATATATATCACGTCTTATGTATGTATGAATTATTAATATATATTTGATTTATTCTGTGTTTTAAGTTATTTTTTTAAATAATAATCATACACACACAGATGTAGACACGGCGTATTTGACAGTAAAATTGAATGTCTAGTTTCATGCAGTATTGTCTAAATACAGTCGCCGATCGATACAGAGAATGTGTAGTATTTGTATGGTTTATTGTACTATGTATGCGTGTGTAATTTAGGTTGAAATAATCCATAGCATTGGATTAATATCAATTTTCATTTGATGAAAATATGTGTTTAGAGTTAAGATTTAGAACTTAAAGGGTTAATTAAATTCAAATCCATCAATGAATATCCACTGGCACATACTGAGCATATTCAAACAGGGTCACGGGGTCAAGCCGTTTCTGAATCATGATAAGAAAAAAATAGAATAAAAAGTACTGAAACATGAAAGGCAGAGCTAGATAAAGATCAGAGTAAAATATTCATCCGCCGAGGAAATAAGTCCATAAAATATTAATAACTGCCACGAGATATGGCCTCTATTCTGTTAAGAAACTACACATGCGCACATAATGTCACTAAAATGGAGTAGCGGTACTCGCATTTCCCAGCAGGAAAGCGGTCCATTTTCTTTGAGTTAATTTGCATATACGTAATTTGCATAAAAGCCACCATGGAACTACACAAGAATGGTGCATGTGTATTTTCTAGAAGAGTGGTTCCGAATAACCAAATTGAATCATCATTAACGCGGCCCTCTTCTAACAGCTTTCCGCCTGACTTGAAATTCGCAGCAAATAAAATCACTACGTACACGTGGCTACTACGAGTACAGTCAGTTGAAAGGAAAATGATTCGTTTTAGCTACGAACATCTTTCCAATTTGAGGATATATCACCAGATGTATGACGGGAACAACATTTCTAAGAAGAAATCGAGGCTAGATTTTTGTTTAGGCTTTGAATTATATTATGCGCACTCAGGCTTTGACGGAAGTGAAGAATAGCGGGGACACAAGAGGACTTGATTATTAAAAATAACACGCCCAAATTTGGTGCAAATTTCCACAACTGAACTAAAGTAGTGAAATAGAAAAGAGAAAATAGTTTATAGCGGCGTTTCACTGTTACTGGGGTCAACCGAAAAAAGCCAGGGGAAATACATTCATACAATTTCGGTACCTTTGATACCATTGTGGTTACTCTTCTCTTCTCTTCCGTCTATGGGTTTATCTATGACAGGAAATGTTTGGATCGGGGACACAAAGATGACTTTTGTCGCCAGAGGGCCTCCGTGGGGGCCTAGAGAACGCGGTTGTACATGTAGACTAATTTTCAATTCACTACAGGCTGAAGTAATTAAAGCATATTGAAATTTATCAATCGACCCTTGACCTTTGCAAAAATTGCGTATGCAGTATTTTGAATCATAGCGGTTCATTTCGCATATTTGTTTCCCTTTTATATTCAAAAATATTATTTGGAAATACATTGTGTTCTTAGGTTCGTTGGCGGTGGGTGACTTTTCAATAACGTCATGTGTAAACAATGTTTTGCGGACACATTCGCTATGTATCCCTCCCCAAATCAAGATAAACTATGTGTGTTTTCAAGCTGATATTAATCTATTCAGATAATACTCAGAATAGTAGTCCGTGTTCGCCTCGGTTTATATGAGCATCATTCGATCAACAACCAATCAATTTTAAACGGCGTCTTTGAGTGTGAATATTGCACACATGTAATGAAAAAGGTTGCAATGATTACTGCTGTACTTATACCACCATTAAAAGAACATGTATATACGGGTGCTGATTACAATGAAATTATATCACCCTAACCCAATTGTAAACGATCACGGAATGAAAAACCGGTTCGACTTGTAATTACACAAGGTATATTGTGAATCGAAATACACGTAATTAGCTGTGATTTTAAATTCATCATGACTACCAATCATAGTCGTTTCATTCGTCACCACGGCAATGACATTTGTACCATGTCTTTTTCGTGTCTTCAATTCAAATATAACACCAACCCACCCCCACCCCACCACCACCCCTTCCCAATTTGACTGCCTGGACGTGGATGTGTTTTTGCTGTTTAGGCCATAGCTCGAGTTTTTAGATTTAGACATACTTTGCAAATGATACGTTAAAAAACCAAGAAAATTGCTCACGAATATGGCAGGCGATGACCCTGATTGAAACAGGTCCTAGAAACTAAAACTCTTGCGAATAATGCACGGCAGGTATTGAGTACAGCCATTACAATGCCATTGATATATTTGAAGCACGTCAAACATGAAATAAAAAGTAATTTTCTAAATTATAGGAAATTACAGGAGTTTCTAGGCCTTCCTCTCATAAAACACGAATATTAAATTAGGGAGGCTGTTGTATACAACTAATTTATTATTTTTTTTTATTAATTACGCAGGTTATTTAAAATGTTTTGCTCTGGGCATTTACGTTGTGATGTTTTCTTATCAAACGTGACAGTCCGCTACTCTATGTATTTACTCGGGGTATGTCGTCTGTGTGTCTGAAATCCTGTGAATGCGTTTTAAGGCGGGAATATCTCGTAATCAATATTTTAGATATCTGAAAGTCATAAAAAATATAATTTTCTTTCAAGCACGACAAGATTAATTCTTTACTAAATAGAATGGCGAAGCAAGTACTCATTTACGGATGTCGTTCAATTGTCACGTTTCCCACGATATTCTGCAATATTTAAAAACTATCATTTGGAGAAGAAAGAACACAGGAGTAACATCTCAGCATTATGGATTATTTCCTTTATGACTAATCTCAACTGGGTCAAGTATCTTAGTTGAACATTTTTAATCTAGGATTTAAAGATTTTTCAAACCTCCATTTCTCTAATTAGCCGAATCTGTTGCTAAAAACATAATTATCCGAATCTGTTGCTAAAAACATAATGCTAGTATAAACAGATTACCTGAGACGGTCATGAGTAAGACTCATCATGACGTCACGCGTTGCGCGTGGAACTAAGCCGACCAACTAAAACATTATATTATTATAAAAACAACATGAAAGGGGCATGTGATTGTATCATATCATATAGTAGACGTATAAGGTATGAACACAGCGCTGCTTATAAAACAAAACAAAAACATCTAGTATTTTTTCGAGCTATTTGCTCATGCATTCGGTTGCTAGATACTACATTTATTCAAATAATGAATGGTTTCTAGAAACATGGCACAATGAATTCCCAGTAGACGACATTTTGCATCCCCGCGCATTGAAGAGTCGATATCTTTGACAAATGAAAGCATTAACACAATTCGGATGATTCATACCACCGGAGGGCTAGAATTACCCACAAAATCGACGGAATTAAACTGAAAGGCGAGTGATTACTGGAATTAGGTCTCAGAAAACGTCGACGTAGTATAGTCTACAAAAGATACGAGAAATAATTAAGCCTAATGATTAAGTCTTGCAGTCTTCTCATTTACTGCAAATACGATACGCTTTAATGACGCCCGCAGTCATTGTAACAATATTATCGTGATTAAACTTTCTCCAGTGATGCAAAATTAAACACCTGACATGGTTTGCGCCTGACAGAAGGCTTACTGGGTAATAACCATCGTTCCATGTTCAAAGAATGTCGTGAATGTTTAAAGGTATTGCTTTGAACGAGGAAAGAGTGAGAGAGAGTGAGTTTTCAAAAGAAGATATCGATAAAGTAGCCGTGCTGGGACTGATTCCTTTGATGTTGTCCGACACGGTGTGGAGTGAGCAGGGTTGAACAGCGTGTTCCTCATAATTTGGGAGCTAAATTACTCCCGATTTTGAATATTCAATTCTGAATCTGTTATTACAGATGTCAGTGTCGAAGATTTGACCTGACCTTTGAGTTGGTGCTATCGCATGACATTCCCTTATCAGCCAACATAACCGCGTCGTTTACATCCATTCGTCTTTTCAATAGACACGTATAAATACTAAGTGCATTATAAAACATTTCATAGCCACGTTTAACCTGAAATGACGTTAATTTTATTACCTTACGAGAAATGTGTAATTTTAAGAGTCATAAAATAAACGACAACTGAGCTCGTTCTTTCTTCCAAATAGGCATATTTTCTGGGTGGGAAAATAGTCAATTAATAGCTAAAAGAACAATAATTCAAGGCACTCTCGCCAATTTGTTAGCTCTTTCCCTTTCTCTTGGCCTCTTATTAGTCTGGGTCAGCTTTTTATTCAATAGTGGCGCCAATTCCTCGTTGATGTGCATTACTTGTATTGAATATGCCAACTTGTATCGTGTTTACGAATACATGACGTGAAAATAAGATGAAGCACCTTGACGGTGGCTGTCCACGGTATTCAAATCCTTACACAACCATGCAAGCTGAAACAAATATTCATACATAAAATGAATTGATAAGGAAAGGCTTGAAATAAATATATGCTTCAACTATCGAATGAAACAAAATATTTGCAATGTTATTAGAGGGGGATCACATTGTTTAGACTGACAGACTTGCGTTTTGATAACAGACAGAACACATAGCAAGCGTGAACTGACGAATAGTGGCGGCTACGTAAATTAAACCACGATTGACAGACTGTCGTTTTGGAAGTCATTGACGATAACATAAATTAAACGATTGTCAGTTCGAACGTAAATCGTGATATTAAATAAAATGAGACGTTTACAAAAAATAGTATAGAAAAGCTGTACAGAAATTAATTAAAGTATGTTGTCTGCATGTTGATGTGTTTGGCGCGAAAATAAAGGCAACTGCTGACGTCCGGCGACGTGGATATTTTATACGTGAAATCGAAACACACATTTCTGATTGTTATGTTTAGGAATAGACGGTGATTGATAGATGTCCAGTATACCTCGATATGCCGTGTCTTTGCATGGCTCAGTGGGTCATACGGTGATACGTAATAACTTTCTGGCTTTGCGTACATGTTGTTGAAGAATCTGGGGATTTCTGCAGTATGTATTCTATCATACACGATTTCTATTAACTAGCTTTCGTTCGGATCTACTGGACATGCCAAGACTGTGAATATGAAGTTCCAAGTTGATGAAAATATTTTGATAATGTATCGCTTTGGTAACCACAGGCAACAAAGTGCTTGTGTAAGATCATTTAGTTTGCGTATCCCCAACCTGTGGCGTGTCACACCCGACTCCCCCAACAAAAGTGCAGGCATAAGGAGCATATTAATATAATGATGTGTTAGATTTACGCGCGACACACGCCCAGATAAATGCAATGTTGACATAGGGCATTCCTGAACACGGCTTTCAGCTCACATGACTGATGGCCATTTTAATTGGGTCGTAAAACTGCTAACCTAGGCTTGGACGAATAAACCAAAGTAGAATTATGTTGAAACACATATTTGACAGTTATCAAGTCTCCGCATGGGTGTCTTCAGATAATATTGTTCGTTGTCATGGAAACATGTTAAGTATGTGGATAATGACAACACGATTATGAGCATATACTTGAACTGCATCACCTGGCCAGATTTGTTTCGTTATTTCTCATGGTTTTATGTTTAAGTCACTTATGTTTGAGATTGGATATCACGTTAGAGAAGAATAACCTCTGAAACTCGAGACAATTTATGAAGACCCAGGCTGGATACCATTTTGCATCACCGAGCATCTAAGATAACATGTAATAATTTTCATTCGTTGACGTTTATTCTCATTCATTGACGCAAAAAAAATGTAGGATAAAATTTGCTCCACGTTCAAGTAAAATTAAAGACGAGTATAAATATTGGCCTATTGGTCGATGTGATGTTTTAAACAAAACAAAATTAAATTGCTTTTATTCGCAGTTTTTTTAAGTACATATGTCATTGTGGAAAAAAATACTCTATTGTGATTACCCTTCGTACACATTCCCTGGGGGCCGACTCGGAATTGAGTCAATATCAAAGTAACTAATACATTTGACGTCACGGTGCTGGCGAATTCAATTCGACGATTGCCGATATTCCACACTCCACCTCTTACAAGGGCAAAGGTAAACTAATCTTGATATACACACGAATGATTTGCTTAAGTAAAAGCTTTCCAACGCTTTTCCACCAAATAAAGGGTAACAGGAAGTGAAGAAAGGGTCTGTTGAGAGCATTGTTGAAATCGCGCATCTGATAACAAAACAATCTTGCAAGAAACTCGTGTTGTGTGACGTTGACACCTCGGGCGGTCACTCACGCGATTTTGTTCTTCAGTCGTCATGGAAACGAAGTTAAATGTGTTAGGTGAAAAATAAAGTGAGAATTACATGTGCCAATCTTTTCAGGCTGACGACAATGAAACACCTTTTACCGTCGTTTGCATATTCTCGCGTGAGCAAAATAAGTAATGGACAGTAATGGAGACTGTGTTGTACCATGGAGGTATAAACACATACCATGGAAGGTAGTACACTCAGCAAATAAAATAACAAAATGTGCGTTTTAGCGATAATTATGAATATATATATATTATTAGTTAGGCTCCATGATAGTCGTGCGACTTTACATAAAGCGAAATTACGCCGATTTTAAAACAAAGCAAAGAAGCTGGGAAAGGCAGAAAGATATGTTTGCTAAACAATCAGCTGGCTTTGTTTGAGCAGTCCAGGGTTTGTGTGCTCGCTAATTGGTGGCTGCTACGCTAATCACTAGTATTGTTAATCACTCATTAAGATACCTGTCAAAATGCGTGATGTGATTACCGTCCTCATTAACGGAATTCATGTACTGCTCAGTCCTTTGTCCTAACGGGAGGGTTTTTAATTGTTTACCCCTCCCAGCTGAAGAACCCCCCTTCAAAACACACCATACAGGGCACGTAGCCTTGAAGTGATGACGACGATTACACTTTTGTTAGTATTTCAATGGATGCCCCTATTCAGATATGAATGCAATAATGGACCGCGGCACAAATTGTGGGTTTATTTGCATAGGTCTGTCGTATCAAATTGTACCCACCCACCTAACTAATTTGTCGTCCATCAATTACGAGTTGTCGCTACGATTTCCTGGCTCCCCGTCAATTAAACATCGATGATTATTCCACCCTTATAATTACACACCTAACCTAACGCGTGTTATCGTCGTATTTATGAGAACATTTCGCTACCAACTGTATGTCAACGATTTGCACACGTACATTTGTATAATGTATCGATGTACGCCCCTTGTATTACGCAAATTACGACTGCAAACCATGCAATCAATGTTGATGTTTGTCTTATGTACACAGTCACACTGCAACAGATGGACAGACAGTGGTGTTGCTGTTTTCAGCGTTTGAATGACGGATTTGCAATCCAGAGTAAAATCCAAATAAAGCAGCGTTTTGAATATAAAGGGTTAAATAGGCAACAACCATTGGATATAAAAGAAGTTGAGTTTATAACAATAACAATTTCAAACTCGGAGTGCGGCGTGTTCGTATGTCGCGTCTGTGGATTTGCTATTAAATCACCCTGTCTTTAAGCCAAACGAGGTGGTCAATATTTGGAAATATTACAATTGATAAATTACGATATTCTTTACAACGTAGCGTATGTCAGTTTAACTAGTAGTCGACACAACAAACGTACATATATAACGTATCTATATCGTGCCAAAGCAGCTCTATGGGAGAAAATGACCTCAAATGCTATCAGAAACTAATACATAAAACTGTTGAAATGTTTGGTTTGACGCAAAGGTTTGTATAATCTGTAGCCAACACGCCCGACTAGCTTATATTCATGGTTCAGGTTACAATCCTACCAACAAACACACAGTGGCATTTTTGCTCAATGTTCTGTGAAAAGCGATACTTCAGGGTGCAGTCAAAACCAGACATTGCATTCCGCCTCTAGTCTCACAGGGAGAGCGCCCGTCGCCCCCTCGCCTCGAATTTAAACTTGCTTTTTTTTCTGAAAACAGAAAGCTTAAGTAATGGCAACGAGTATAATTCCCATTTTTACAGGTCGTCCGGTACAAGAGATGGATTACGCCACTCTATTGGGAGTATGGAGGTTTACAATGCACTCAAAACAAACATTAATTTGTAGGTGAATTAACGTATGTCTTGTCACCATACCATGGCTACATAACGCCGATAAAATTAAAGTCTAGTTTAACTCATAATTATTTTATATATATGCTAGTCGATTTACTGCTTTGTTTAGCTTATTCTCTCTTGAAGCAATTGTATGAGTCAAGTCCAAAGTAATCACATGATTTGATTTTGACAGCTCCGTTCTTTTGACTATTATCATGTACCGTTTAAAACAGTGTTTACGGTGATGTTCACTAGAATACACATAACTACTGTTTGTCTAATAACCGGACAGGCCTCAAAACGATACTCCCCAAATATGAGCACAAATCGATCGACGATGTTCTGGGTATCGGTTTCAGTGCTCGTCGGCACACGTACAGAGAGTACCGCGAGTGACTGATTGTGTCAATAGACACTTTTACTTTCCATGCGCCAAACCTAATGACCGAACGCAGGAGGTGGGAATAAAATAACACGACTATTTGAGTATGACTTTTCTAAATGTACTTACTCGTTTGAAATTCAAATCCATGTGTCCATACCAGTGTGAGCGAGAGTAGAGAGAGACGTAACGCGCTCCAGTACACCATGGCTGATAAAGACGCCATAATGAGACCTATTGTGAATAACAAAGAGTCGGTTCTCTGCTCTCGACCACGGCAATACAGTAGGCGAACTCGTAATGAAAAATCCTATAGAAATGCCTGTTCGTGTATTAATGCTTTGGTGGCACAGTACAGCATAGAGCACGCCTTACGAGGCAAAGCGAGCGTGATGAATACAAAATTAGGACCACTTCCTTTTAGCCGTACTAACTCTACGGCGTCTAATAAAAATTCACACTCATTATATAATTACGGTAGTCACTTAGCGAAATCGGTAGGTTGTCAGCGAAGCCCCGCCTCAGTCGTTTACACCTCGTTGTCGTCCCGAGCGCGGTATGCGGTAGACTGAGCTGGTCGAGGTTGTTCTGTTTATGTTGAATCTGACCCCAATTGTTCCGACTTGTAGCGAGCACTGCAATGCAATCTTGTGTGAAATCAGCACAATCGGCGTACAACGAAGCGTAAGCCGCTGTCCAGAGTCAGTCAAGCGAACGCCACAATTGGAGGATTACTGTGTTCTGGTCAAAAGGGGGAGTCCAGGCGGTCAACCCCTGTACTTCTTCGCCGTTTTTTTTTGCGTGGGGCTTATATGTCCACCCTTACCCCTTTACATAAAAAAGATAATAATTCCCTTCAAAGAATAAAGAATCCACAGGTCAATCCGGGCCTTAAAACACCGCGGTGCGTCTTTCATCCAATCCAAATCGAAGGCAATGTAAAAACACCATTCAGTGTCTCAGAGAAAATGTGAAAGCCGACTGACTGACTGACTGTCTCTCCCTGACTAGTACATATGCCTTCGTTGGCACCGTTCCATTCATCGAGCCTCTGAATGATATATGAAGTGTACTGCAGAGTGTCTGACACATTCTCTGAGTTTAACCACACCACACTAGTCTCTCAACTTCATATCTTAATACATATTATGTGACAATCTTGGACCAAGTCAAATATGTTTTAATTAACTGAAATACGGGCATGCTGCGTCGCATATATGTGCATTGGTAGTAATAGTTTGACTCGTTGACAGCTGTGAATCCACAGAAGTCACGAATCCTCGTCCCAGAGGTGACAAACTCATAACTCACCACGTAGATCGCAAGAGGATTTGCAGTAGACTCCAACAGAACAACAGATGCATGAAGTACATCACAAGCGATGACAACTTTGCCCCTGTCATAAAGATCGCTAAAAACAACACTCTAATTAGCAAGTCACATGCCGCGTTACTGAGAAAATACTGGTACATGTAATTGGCTGCTGAGGGCGCCCACACGTCTAACGGACGTCAATCGTGACAAAATGTGGATATAAATACATAGACAGATTTAAAAGTAGTAAGATGATTACACATCGTTTACAATAATTTTCATAAAGGCAGGAATATTTTTTATGTAAATTTGTATGCATGTTTTATAAATTTCAAATGAGGTTGTAAACCGTTTGACAGATCACCATGCGTTGATTAATGCACTAAATCGGGGACTTCCCATGATATACATATTTTATTAACTTCTTCAAAAACATTTATGCCTTCACGAATTTACTGTGTCATTCATACTGACTAAAGTTTATTTATTTATTTATTTGAGTTATTATACTTTTGTTTGTGTTCGTCGAAAAACCCAATGCTAGCACACCACAAATTAAAGTAGTCGGCACATGTGCACCATCCAAGCATTCACAGTCAGTGTGTGTGCGTCCGGCATGACGTTCCTATCCAGTCTACTTCCTCGACATCATGGGTTTGACATGTCTACATTTATCGCGTTGTTAAATCTTTCCATAACATTTACATGTGTTTATTAAAGGGACATTATTTTACCGAGTTTTAATTAAAAGGACAGTATCATACCGTGAGTTTATTGAAGGGACAGTATCTTACCGTGTGTTCATTAAAAGGACAGTGTCTTACCGTGTGTTTATTAAAGGGACAGTATCTTACCGTGAGTTTATTAAAAGGACAGTATCATACCGTGAGTTTATTGAAGGAACAGTATCTTACCGCGTGTTCATTAAAAGGACAGTGTCTTACCGTGTGTTTATTAAAGGGACAGTATCTTACCGTGTGTTTATTATAAGGACAGTATCATACCGTGAGTTTATTGAAGGAACAGTATCCTACCGCGTGTTCATTAAAAGGACAGCGTCTTACCGTGTGTTTATTAAAGGGACAGTATCATACCGTGTGTTTATTGAAGGGACAGTATCATACCGTGTGTTTATTAAAGGGACAGTATTTTACCGTGAGTTTATTGAAGGGGCAGTATCATACCGTGTGTTTATTAAAGGGACAGTATCACACCGTGTGTTTATTGAAGGGACAGTACATACAAACTTATATACAGACTAATACTCAAAACTGTGTGCTAAGCACGTGGGAGGCAAAATGAATGTTCACAACAAAATATAGTCAATGTTTACGTGTCAGCAAAAAATTGCCACCACTAAAAAAGTGGCTTATGGCCTGACCCATGAGTTGGTTAGTATTCATACGATGCTTGCTAAAAAAAATATTGTATGTGTATTTTAAGCATGGAAATGTTGACAGTTTGAACCAAGTAACATTCAAACGTCTAGACATCGCGAGCTTAGCTGAAATGCCACCAACCGCTTGTCTGACAATGTGCTAATTACAGTAAATCGTGCTTAATCATATTTACTAGTTTCGTTATTATTGTCTTATTTCCCATCAAGAAACGCTAATTAAACAATTAATTAAACAACGTAAAAATACAGATAACAAATAATGCGAATAATTGTATCAATTTCAAATAAATAATGACCATTTTTTCCTTTTCATGGAGGAACCACTTCCTGATTATTCTGGTTGAATGTAGTTAGTGGGAAGGTGCTTTTCAGGATGGGAGTTTTTATTTCCATCCTAAAGCGGGAGGGTCGTCACCTTCGCACGCGCGGGAATTGAGTCTCAAGCGACGATAACAACACACGCTAAAACGCAAAGGCTCATGGGTAGACGCTTGTTTGTAAACAATGACACATTATGGCCACCTGACGCATGCGCAGGTGTCGACTCCCCCACTTTAACTATCTAACACTTTGTAACAAAGGGGCATAACAAAGGGCTTCACATGAGGTTCTAACAAGGGGCCTATCCAGGGAGTCCAACAAGGCAAATAAAATGTCTTTCGTTCCTTCAGAATGTATTACACGGTCTCCGGGAAATGGTGTTTAAGTTGCCCAAACTATTCATGTGAATGCCCCAGTCCTCGTCACCCTTTTCATCTGCTCCTCCCCTATGTTGTAATTGGAAATGTAGCTGGCCAATTTGTGTACACCACTAAAATAGCGGATAACGAGGTCAATGGTTTAGATTTGTGTTTATAATATCTCTCGCACCGTAATAGTAAGTGCGTTTCATTCCCTAGGGGCTGGGATTGTGATGGGATTGTGTGTCAGTGGGGTTTTGATAAACACTGAGCTGTTACTCTCATAAATTGTCTTATTAAATATCTCTATTTTATAATTTTGCGCTCTTCACAATTAAAATGTTCAATTAATTACGTAATGATGTAATAAAGGTTCAACATTGAACAAATATGTAACCGTAATTGTGATGAGAATTTTGTACATGCATGATGAAATATATAAATAATTCAGTTTGTCTACATTGGGGGTACAAGCATGCCTGGGCAGATTTCATTCAAACTTGGCATTGATATCGATATGACGATTTGCTGATGCAAATTTCGTTTGCGATTTTAATCAAAATGATCAACTGGGAATTACACTTTTATATATATGTGAGGTACACTTTTATAAATATTGTCTAACATTTAGTACAATCGACAATGACTTGTAACGCAGTAATTTGGGGGTAAGTCTGGGTTATTTACATTGATTTGAATTATAATGAACCACAGTTATATTCGGTATCCCCGCACATGAATGTATCCTGATAGACATACACAAAATTAGGCTTCCCCTTGACTCCGAGTACTGTGACATACTCGCATGTAAAATTAAACTTTGTGTAAAATATCAATAAAATCTAACATTACATGTAATTGCTACTTGTGCTTCACTGCTATATTTAACGCCATATAACGACACTAATTACACTCATTTTTTTCATTTATATCATAAAAATGTAGTCGTAAAATTAATTATATATATATATATATATATATATATATATATATATATCCAAATTTTAAGAGAAAATCAGGTCTTGGTGTTGGTGCCTAACTGCGCACTTAGCTATAAATCATCCTATTTTAGGAAGTAGATTACTTGGTATAAATTATTCTGTATTCAGTGTGATCGATAAGTCTCTAGTGATATTGAAATAACGGAGTAATCTATTTAAAAGGCAATTTATATCCAGAAATTGTCATAATTTTATCCTCAATATGAATTGGGATTCATTTAATACAATAACCATGAGTTATTGTATTCATATGAAACCCGAGTTCTCGTTAAAGCTGCAATTGACCAGAAATGTCGACTGCCAAACGTCGTCAAATTACAACCATAACTATTATGTGCTCAACCATCGTGGTAAGTAACATGCTCATTACCAAAACCACTGCTAACCATCGTGGTGAGTAACATGCTCATTACCAATACCACTGCTAACCATCATGGTGAATAACATACGCATTACCAATTCCGTTGCTAACCATCATGGACAGTAACATGCTCATTACCAATACCACTACTAACCATCGTGGTAGGTAACATGCTCATTACGAATACCACTGCTGACAATCGTGGTGAGTAACATGCTCATTACCAATACCACTGCTGACCATCGTGGTGAGTAACATGCTCATTACCAATACCACTGTTGACCATCGTGGTGAGTAACATGCTCATTACCAATATCGTTGCTAACCATCATACCGCTGCCGACCATCGTGGTGAGTGACATACTCATGACCAATACCGTTGCTAACCATCATGGTGAGTAACATGCTCATTGCCAATACCGTTGCTAACCATCGTGGTGAGTAATATGCTCACTGCCAATACCGTTGCTAACCACCGTGGTGAGTACCATGCTCATTACCAATACCGTTGCTAACCATCGTGGTGAGTAACATGCTCAATACCAATACCACTGCTGACCATCGTGGTGAGTAACATGCTCATTACCAATACCACTGCTAACCATCATGGTGAATAACATACGCATTACCAATTCCGTTGCTAACCATCATGGACAGTAACATGCTCATTACCAATACCACTACTAACCATCGTGGTAAGTAACATGCTCATTACCAATACTATAGCTAACCATCGTGGTGAGTAACATGCTCATTACCAAGGCCGTTGCTGAACATCGTGGTG